ACGAAGGAGCATCCGGAAGGACATGTGACGACTCCGGGCTGGACTCCGTTTCGTCCACGGTGAAAGTTGATCCGGTGATCCACAGCGCGAAATTGTAGTATGTCCTCAGCAACCAGCACAGATCAGCTCCAGGCATGACGAAGCAGATATTGTCCTCTTTTGGAAGACCAAACAAAGTAGTTTCACTTTTACAACGAAGCACACAGCGTCTTTACGACATGGCAGCGGAAACAACAAAACTACAGCGAGAATAAAAGTTACGCCTTCTTTCTTTGCGTGAACATTTGGGTGGCGTTATGCAAATCTTCCCACAGAGCGACGTAGGTATGTGGGGGCGTGTTAGAACGAGCCGTTTTAGGTAGGTGTGGCTGACTCTTAACTTTTATAAAGAATATCTCTTTGGATTTGAGACTTTAGTCTTTGCAACTTTACAGATCTTCTTTATGCACCAAGAGCTTGTAACAGTCCAAAGAGAAAGGAAAAATTGAAATCGCATCATATGACCCCTTTAAATCTGAACAGATATATTTAAAAAACATTAAATGAAGGGTTATTTTCAAATCCAGTCAACATTCAGAATGTCAATGTTGACTAAACTAATAAAAACAAATCCAGCCAATACTGAGATCACTCTGCACGTGCACGAGCCTGAGTGACTTCGCGGGAGAAACAGCAGCACCATCTTGTCAAATTCACACGTCAGGTAAGTGCCACTATAAATTTTATTTTTTAGACTAAATGTATCGACAAAATCATACAACATATTCAGTGTTTTTGAGTGGATATTTAGAAGTGTTTTATAAGTTATATGTCTGAAGAAAAGTGGATATTTAAGTTAAGTGTAAGTCATGTCAATTTCACGTGTCAGGTAAGTGACTAAATATTTGTACTAAACGTATATATTAAAAAGGTGTAAACGTTTTATTTAAAACCTATATATTTATGCACAAATGTGCAACATATATATAAGCATAAACGAATAAGCATTGTATCAATTATGTCAGGGAAATGAACTGTTTAAGTTAAAGGAACGTGGTCTTTCACCTTGTTTAATCCATAAAACTTTTAATGTCAAAGGCTGTGTTACTATAAAGAATTTTAGGTTTACTTTTGGTGTCAAGCCAGCCGCAGTTCAGAAAAACACGGTCAAGCCAGCCGCGGTTGAAATTTGTGCTCGCGTATTACAATGATTACGGTAATTGCAGGAACACAGAGAGAACGCGCTTTCAGAGCACTTTTCATTTAGACGCCCAGATGTGAGATATAATACAACAAGATGACATTTCTCGATTTCTTTTTTTGTACTTCTGCTTTAATATGCGTGTTATTGGTGTTTTGACGGTTGTGTGTTACCGTATTTGTGTCGACCTTTCAAATCATAGCAGGATTCCTAGAAAAAGAGAAATGGGAAATTATTGGATTTAGAGGGCTATAAAGACCCCATTTCTAATAAGTAGAAAAAAAAAACAATGGTCAGTTCCTATAAGGGACATTCCATATTATATGCACACCTCATATTAAACTATTTTACTGCAGCATTTTTGAGATATGGGACATTATTCTACTTCAGAGGCCTATAAAGACCCCATTTCTAATAAGTAGAAAAAAACAATGGTCAGTTCCTATAAGGGACGTCCCATACTATATGCACACCTCATATCAAACCATTTTACTGCAGCGTTTTTGAGATATGAGACCATATGGCGCTTTAGAGGGCTATAAAGAGCCCATTTCTAAAAAGTAGAAAAGGCCAATGGTAAATTCTTATACGGGACATCCCATACTATATGCACACCTCATATCAAGCCATTTTACTGCAGCGTTTTTGAGATATGAGACCATATGGCGCTTTAGAGGGCTATAAAGACCCCATTTCTAAAAAGTAGAAAAAGCCAGTGGTCAATGCTTATACGGGACGTCCCATACTATATGCACACCTCATATCAAACCATTTTACTGCAGCATTTTTGATATATGGGACTATATGGTGTTTTAGAGGGCTATAAAGACCCAATTTCTAATAAGTAGAAAAAAACAATGGCCAGTTCTTATAAGGGACGACCCATACTATATGCACACCTCATATCAAACCATTTTACTGTGCGT